TGTCTTACGGGTACAATTCTAAATTGTTGGTGTTACAAAAAATAATTTAAGGTAAATATGTCAGTGGGAAAAATTTGAGATTTTTTATGGCTTTTTTTCGTTTGTGAAAGTATCGAGCACGGATAACACGAAAAAAGGCAACACAAATTGAAATTCCATTTAAATTTTCATTATTTGAATATTTAACGAGTGCTTTGGAAACTCGATAGGCATTGAGTAATTTAATTAAATGAAGGGGATAAGTGCACTAGAAGTCCTAAAACTTATCACGAAAGTGCAATTGAGTCCTAAAACTTTCAAAAAGTGCAAACAAGTCTTAAAACTTGTTACGAAAGTGCACTTGAGTCCTAAAACTTTCAAAAAGTGCAAACAAGTCCTAAATCTTATCACGAAAGTGCAAACAAGTCCTAAAACTTGTCACGAAAGTGCAAACAAGTCCTAAAACTTTCAAAAAGTACAATCAATGGAAGGACTTGATTGAACCAATTTGACAAGTTTTAGGACTTGTTTGCACTTTCGTGACAAGATTTAGGACTTGTTTGCACTTTTTGAAAGTTTTAGGACTCAAGTGCACTTTCGTGACAAGTTTTAGGACTTGTTTGCACTTTTTGAAAGTTTTAGGACTCAATTGCACTTTCGTGACAAGTTTTGGGACTTTAAATGCACTTATCCCTAAATAAAGTGAGTCTGGTTCCAGCAGCTGCACTAAACATACACGCAACGGTACGGTGGGACAGCTTGGGTCGCGCGCACGACGGAATCACACGTGGCGGTAGCGTGCGTGCGTGCGTGCGCGAGGGGGTGGGGGTGGCGACGGGCGAGATCGCCACCGTGGGTCCCGCGCGAGAGCGAGGCGAGCGGTCCAGATTCGGCCGCCAGAGGCGATGCAATGATGGGTCCAGCTGTCCCTGATCAGAGCCCTCGTCTGCTCCCCGATGTAGCTTTTCTTAAGTTGGATTTATTAGTACTCTAATGGCAACTTAAGCAAAGCGATTAGTTAGTAGGAGTTTCCAAATGGAGGCTCTAGATCCGGCTAATTATATCTGGTTGCAATGATGAATGCGATTGATGATGTGGGACTCAAGCGCCCGACATTTTCGATGGGGTCGAAAATAGCGATCGCATAGCATTTTGAAATTTGACTTCTTAGATTTAGCCATTACATTTTTGCATAAGAAAGCGATGTCCGATTAGATATGTATATCTATGAGTCTAGGGGGTAGGATTAATTATTGCCGACACGGGGTTCTTCATATGGAAGTCGCAATCGCGTTCACGGTAGGACGATATAAATGAACTCGTAATTCAAAGGAAACATTACTAGGGGCGACCATCAGTTCCGGATTGAATCGGGAACCGGATTGAACCCATAGGTTCTGAGTAGAGGCATGCAAAGGAATTGAGAACCGCTCGGACTGCCCAAAATCGGGCCGAACTGATCCAGGACGGGCGATTCCTATGGGGACTGGTCCCAATTCCAATTTATTGGAACGGTGAGTACCAGTCCGATTTCTAATTCCAGGCATAGAACCGCCCACTTAGACCAAACCAATATATATAATGGGAGCATTCATCCTAAAATTACAGTATCATTTCATGTTTGATCATGCAGATTTCTTTATTATTCTTACATTTTCCCTTGTAAAGAAGTACCCACAAAAAAACTAAGTTCATCATGATATTAATTGGATAATATAATTTTATAGGAATTGTGGACTGGTTCCATGAATCCACTTGGGAACCGAAACAGGCGGTTCCCGATTTCAGGGTAAGAACCGCCTATTTGGACCATGCTTACCCCTAGTTCCGAGTGGTCTCCTTGTGCGGAGCCGGTCCAACGGACCAAACCGACAGGACCGAGAGAGGCAACTTAATTGAAAATTAGGGCTCTCTCTCTCTCTCTCTCACAGAGACCTCAACATTCTCTCTACTGCTTGAAGAAGCCTGGCCCTCAATTGCTCCAAGCCAGTTTGTTTCCCTTCCATGCTTCTTCATTTGGGTTTAATCCTCTCTGTGCTTGATAGGCGGCCGCGCGATTCCGCTTCAGCCGTTGCGATTCTAATCTAAATCACCCAAATTCGATACGATTTGTTTTTGCAATTTCGCGACTTGTAGATGCAAGAAGAATACGAAGAGAGCGTGCAACGGTCCGTTGCTCAGTGCAGGAAGCACTCTACTTCATCTTGCGAAGCCGGTGGAGGAGACTTACACATCCATCATAACCAAATATTGTTGGTTTCTCGACTTCATCGTTCTTGTCAGCTCATGACTCTTGTCCCTCATGGATTATATAGGCGATTCGGGGTGCGAATGATAACCATTCTGTTTCAGAAATTAATTTCTAGCCAGAAATTCTATTTCTGTTTTCATGGATGAATTTCTAAGCAAAAATACGCGTTTGATAACGATACAAAATTTCTATTCCCGAAACAAAAATTTGTTTGATAACGGCACAAAATTTCTCCCTCTCGGGTGGTCAGCAAGTAGACGGCGAGCGGATGGCATCGGCGGACGGCTGGCGGCGGACGATGGCAGCAAACGGCGGGCGGCGAACGGCGAAGCGGCCAGTGCGAAGAACGGCGGCCGGAGACGGGTAGCGAACGGCGACACGGCTAGTGCGAAGAACGGCGGCTGGAGGCGGCCAGCGTCGGGCAACGGCGGGAGGAGGGCGGATGGTGGTAGTGAACGACGGGTGGCGGGCGGTGGGGGGAGGCGGCGGCGAACGGCGATGCGGCCAGTGCAAAGGACGATGGCTAGAGGCGGCCGGCGTCGGGCAGCGGCAGGAGATGGGCGACGGCAGACGGGAGGAGGGCGGCGGCAGGAGGCGGCCGGCCGGCGACGAGAGACAGTGACCGGCGGATGGCGGGCAGCGGCCCACAATGGGTGGCGACGGGAGACGGTGGTTGGTGGCCGGCAGCGGGAGATAGCGAACAGCAGGAAGCGGCGGCCGGCAAGTGGGCGGCGATGGACAATAGGTGGGCGACCGGCTAGTAGCAAAGGTGAGCGATGAGAAATTTTTTTATTTTTCATTTTTGTTCTAGAAATAGAAAAGTAAATTTTTTTTTCTCATTTCTGTTCAAAACCTATTTTTCAAATCAAAATTTGTTCTAGAAATTGAAAAATGAAATTGCGTTATCAAACGGATTTTTGTTCAAAACTTGTTTCTGGAACAAAAAACATAGAAATAGAATAGTTATCATTTGCAACCATATCTTCACGAAGACAGATTCGACATCATCTTCCTGAAGAGAAATTCCAGCTTCTTTTTTCAGTGCCGGATTTCATCAATGTCCGCGAAGTGCATATCCATCTGTGTAATATAAAATTTTTATAAGAAAAAGAAAAACATAACTTGTCCCAAGGTCAACAGGGTCAATTCCCAATTCCACAAATGGAAAACCAACCCTAAATTGATCTATCCTAAAAACGATCCCCGTTTAAGCCGAGATGGTAATATTAATCCACAACGAGCTATGCTTTTTTTTTTAGCGTGGACATTTCGGATACATGGCTTGATACGATTGCTGATCCATTGGATGGGGGTGCTAAAGATAGGAAAAAAAAAAAAAGGGGAGGAAAAAATTAGTGGTAAGGGCGCGTTTGGTTTAATTCTTGCCTAATGTGCTATAGAATACTCAAAAAGTCATTCCTCCGATTTATTTGTTTCGTATAATTAAGTCCTCTAACTTATTTAATTTGTAAATTTGGACTTTTCTTTTGTCATTAACCGTCGATAACTAATTCAGCTTGACGCGGCATGCCGCATTCGGTTTGCGCACACAACAATGTAGCAAATTTGATGGAACATGTTGAAGAACTCGATTGTACGAATTTAATAAGATTTGAAAGGCTCCACTCGTATTTTGACGAGAATTTGGGGGCCAAAACTCTTCTTTTTTAACATTTTTCATTAGTCTCGGTGGAAACCCGAACAGCCCCACGTGTAACGCGAGCCTCAATTCCGAAGAGCCAATAGATTATGTTAACAAGTGCTCCGAAATTTTAACAAACATCCAAAAAAAAAAAAATGAGTCTTAGTTCGGGGCTTAGTTGTAGCATTCGACTCAAATTAACTACTAGACACACTAAATTTTTTATAAAAGGGTGTAGATGAAAATTCACGGGCAAAATTCTTGGACGAAAATCGGAACCCAATTTATGTAAAAAAAGAAGAAGAAGATGTATGCAATTGTATAGCCAGAAGTCATACGTTGTGGAAGCTAGGCAATGCGTGGCATGGTAAGCCAGTTAAAGCATAGTCATGTCGAAATTCAAGCGCCATGTAGGATGACAATAATATTGCATGGGAAGACCCAATTCGTCGATCGCACCACATTACTTGCGTGGTTGACACATACCATACTTTTCCCAAATTTACATGTCCTCACTAACATCGCAATCCCATTAACTTTCAACCCCCATAAAATACAAATTCGATATCGATTGACCAGCAAACCCAGATGTGCATCGCCTAGTAATAAATAGATTTCTCTTATAAAGACCATCACTACATATCTATAGAAAGTTTAAAAAATTAGAATACCTTGTTGCGCAATTTGTCATTTGAACACGCGAGAATCTTCGTTTCATAATTGCGCGAGCTCGCCGCCGCGTGCCTTATATAAATCGACTCATTTTTACAATTTATAAATAGATCAATTACCGGAAAAATCACAAAAAAGCCAGCCTCACGAAGAGAAAAACGAGACGTGTTTAGAGGACAAAAAAGCTCCAAAAAAAGAAAATAAAAAAACAAAAAAATGGGCCGAAAATGACTTGACAAGCAATTTCGCGCTGTGTTTTTTCTTTTTGCAAATTTTAATTTTTTCCAATTTTTTTTTTCTTCCTTCTTCTCCTCCTCCTCCTTCTTCCCCCCCAGGAATAACGGCCAAGATCCGTTTTTGGTTCCCAAAACTCGCGCACTCCACCCCTCAACACGCCGATATAAATGCAAACCCTCGCGCTTTGCCTCCCGTTTCGCTCCCATCATCCCTCTCCCCCTCTCTCCTTTCCCTTTCTTTGACTTCTTCTTCTCCCTCTTCTTCTCCCTCTTCTTCTCTGGTTTCGTTCCTCTCTCTTTGATTATCTCCTTCTTCCTTGTTCCTCTTCTTCTCTTTCTCGAACGATGTCGTCGGAGAAGGAGCGAGAGGCACACGTCTACATGGCCAAGCTCGCCGAACAGGCCGAGCGTTACGACGGTAACTTCACCGCTCGATCTCTCTAGCGTCTTGTGGCTTTCCACGGATCTCCCGTTCTCCGCATGTGAATGTGAATGAAATGTTAGTAGAAGAGGTTGCCGGATGGCGAACGCGATGCGGTTGGAGGGACATCTGTAATGCGAATGGAGTTGGATGATCTTGTTAGATTTAGATTCGCTGCTTGCTAGCATATTCGTTAGGAGAATGCATGTCGAAAGAGGTCGAATCGGCGCATTAAATTACTAGGTGACTAGCTTTCGTGACCGTATGATCGCGGCAGAGCAAAATGGATTGCTTCCTTTGGATTTGGCAAGGGCAAGGGTGGTCAATGCATCGCTAGCGCTAACAATTTATGGTTTGGTGTTGAGAAATGTGGCTAGTATCCGTATGGAAGTGTCGATATCGCGAATTGTTATCATATCGGGATAAATACGTCGGCGCTGTAATTTATTCATGACGAGTTGATGGATATTACTGCTCTTTCTGTTTGGATTGAGCTTATGACCAAAAATTCCAATTTTGATGAATGAACTTCTTAAGATTTCAAGATCCATGTATTGTTCTGTTTTTGGGATAGGGAGCTATTTATCAGCTATGAGGGAGGGAACCGCATTTTCCTCGAGATTTCTTACCTTTATGTAATCAATGCAGAAATGGTGGAGTGCATGAAGAAGGTTGCTAAGCTCGATCTAGATCTGACTGTGGAGGAGAGGAATCTCCTATCTGTTGGCTACAAGAATGTAATTGGCGCTAGGCGAGCCTCGTGGCGCATCATGTCCTCAATTGAGCAGAAGGAAGAGTCTAAGGGCAATGACCACAATGTCAAACTGGTTCGGGACTACCGACAGAAGGTAGAGGAGGAGCTCTCCAAGATCTGCAACGATATTCTGTCCATCATAGACAAGCACCTGATTCCTTCCTCCAATGCTGGAGAAGCCACTGTTTTCTATTATAAAATGTGAGTCTTTTTGCTTGAAAGTGCATTTCATTTCTGCTCAATTGAATTGAAGCTACTGTTTCCATGCAGCCTTCTCTCTGATAAGCCATATAACGAGAGAACAAAGTGGGTTTCTCGAGTATTGCAATTTCTGTTCCTGCCTCATTTCGTGTCGGTCTCTACTGTCTGGTCGGGAGCCTAAAAAAATCACATATCCCAAGAGTAAAATTTGATGGAAGAGATGGCTTTGGTTTGAAGTGATTTAGACATGTGATTCACCTTCATTCAATAGAGCCGCCACTCTCCTAGGTTCTTTATGTTATCTGACTTTAATGCCATTTACAAGTCTGCACAGAGATGATGTGCAATAAGTTTTAAGAAAATTATGTATATTTGTTCTTTATAGATGAATTTGCTATTTGTATCAATCTAGGAAAGGGGACTATTACCGCTACCTCGCTGAGTTCAAGATTGACCAGGAAAGGAAAGAGGCTGCAGAGCAATCTCTGAAAGGCTATGAGGCATGTTGATTTGAAGTTGGTTACAAATACATTGCTAGTTTATTGTAATACGGCATCCAATAGCACAGTCATCACTTATACAACTCCATTTTCATTCTGTGTAGGCTGCTTCAAGCACTGCAAACACAGAACTCCCATCGACCCACCCAATCCGTTTAGGCCTTGCACTCAACTTCTCTGTATTCTACTATGAGATAATGAATTCTCCAGAAAGGTACTTATTCCTGACTGACTGAAAATACACTCACTTGGAAGTCCCGCCTGTGGATGCTATGGTGATACTTCGATGGAACGTGCAGGGCCTGCCATTTAGCTAAGCAAGCTTTTGATGAAGCAATTGCAGAGTTGGACACGTTAAGTGAGGAGTCCTACAAGGACAGCACCCTGATTATGCAACTATTGAGAGATAACCTGACTCTCTGGACCTCTGATTTGCCTGAAGATGGAGGTATTTGATAACTAATAAACAGCAGAAACATATCATAAATAATGTCTCAAGATGATTTTCAAAAATTGGGTGGACAAGGGAGTGACACACGGGATTTGTCACTTAAATTCATTTTTTTATTTTGAGGAACTTACAAGAATTGGAGAAGAAAATGGCATGGATGTCATTGATGTCCTTTAGAGAACTCAGGTTCTCACTTATATTCTCTCAATGCAGGTGAAGATGGCATCAAAGTTGAAGAACCTAATAAACCTGCTGAACCCGAGGTACATGTTAGAGAACATTTTTTGGCATCCACGAGACGCATTCATCTGCTGCTGTTAATAAGATCTTCTGAATTTGTGCAGCACTGACCAATGTCTTGGTGATCAAGAAACGGGCATTAAATGACCAGGCTGCATCATGGATGCAGTCTTTCTTTCTTCTTCTCCGGCAGACTAAGCAGACAATGCGGAAATCCGCAAGCAGTTATTCCGAGCTCTAGTAAAGCCAAAGCAAAAGTGTAGCAGATTGCTTCACCTCAGTTTCGGTTATATCTCTTGACATTTTCTTTTTGCAATTCATGTTTTTACTCGATGCTTGATCATATAAACACGGACTCTGGATTTCAATACTCTGGGTTATCTTATATTGTCATCGGTCCGACTCTTCCCCAGCCATGTTTCTATCTTCTTAAATTAAATTGCATTTCCATCCCGAGGTACCATCTTCAGGGTTCAATCTAAAGCATTATAGGAATCAAACGGCATATTATCCAAGAGACGTGAATCAAGTGTGAAACTTTCACAAGGCACGGCTGAACTTGCACCCACCCCAAAGGGCTAAAAACCCAAACAAGGCAGCACAACAAATTCTCACCATCTCTAATTTGGACATTCATATGTTAACAAACAATCTCTTCAAGCACAAGCGGAAATTTTTAATTGGCTGATTTCACGAAAACGACTTTCCAGTTCTTAGGCCCTTTCAGTTCCTTACGGCGTGAGATCAAGCATCCTATATTGTTTCTCAAATTATTGCGAGATTTATAAACTGGAGAATCTCGTGTTACAGGTGGTTACGTGTGTTTTGTATCTTGAAATGGTCCGTCCTGCCAGCCGATGCTCCTACGTTCTGTCTCGCTCTCAATTAAATCTACCAGGAAAAACCTGTTCTACAGGCACGGTTTACATTCTTCAAACCAATACGTCAAATAAGAGCTTATAAAGCACCCTACGCTAAGGAAAAAAATGGACATAGATTGGCAAACTGGAAAGAAAAAGCTGAAATATGTACATTACCTCAGTCATCGAAACAGTAACATTATTATCGCAAATTTTGGTCTAAGCATATACAGCAATGTCAAATTCGTCCCATGAACACGATGGTATCAATGATAGCTAAGGTCTCCAGAATCGAAAAAAATTATGTATCCTTCACAGGCTTAAGGCTCTTCCTTGACGAAATAGCTCTGCGGCAAGCTGAAATCTTCCTCTTGGTTTAGAATGTCAGATTCATCCTCATCTGGTTTCTGACCACAAAGGCAATGAACAATATCAGCAAACATGGTCCCCTATCTTTGAAACAGAACCAACGGGCATACAAAAACATGCATCCAGTATAACTCCACTACATCTATGGAATCACGGTGCTGGCCTTTCGGATTAAGTTTAAGAACTTTTGTCGTATCAATGGCGCAAAGAAGCAAAATCTACTTCGACATCACTTCATAGCAGCATCGCACGATGAATGGCCAGGAATGTACAAAAGAAAAGGAGATGCTTAAATTGAACAAATACCAGCATGTCTAAGTTGTAGAAACGGTCCAGCAACTGTAGAACCTCGTCGGCAGAGAAATGACGGTCGAAGCTGGGAAAAGCAGCAGCGAGCATATCATGAGAGACTTGGATAAAACAAGAAAATCATCTCTTTCTCTAAACGAACTGAATATATAACACCCAAGAGTAAAGGAGTATTTAAGAGAAAAGAACCTTCTTCGCAGGTGCTCCATTAGCCCATAAAGGACGAAGTGTCGATGTATACCTGCAAGTGATGGCTGCTTAGGCTTGCACATTGGAAACCAGTTCGATGGACACAAAGTTTTAAGAAAGTAAATGAAACCTTAATGTCTATACCTGCATCTCACACACACTAACAGAAGATAAAACTATAATTTACAAGAACTGCAAATGCAGCATTCCGAAGAGCGCTGAATTGCCAGGAAACACACAAAGCAGGTCGGATAAACTATCTATGGTGAAAATTTGTTGATTGCAGCCAGTAAGGAAAGTGCAAAACAACAAATCAGTCATTAAGGAAAATGCAATAGGTTCGACGCTTGCGAAATCATCGATGAATGCTTTCGAGCCGACTTTTCCTTCATTTCTTGCTCGACCGAGAAGGAAAGACATCACCAGGTACCGTCAAGACCAAATCTTTCATGCAGAAAAACCGAGACAGTCTACTATGGCTGGTTCATACTCGTCAGTTGTCACTGAAATCAAGTAGCACTTCGCATACTGATCGTATAGGACTCGAACCCGAGGAGCCTCATTGTCCAGGCATTTCGAATTGTTCATCGACACGGAATCGCAACTGCTTCACCACCGCCATGGACAGGCACCGCAAGCGCAAACAAACGATCGGATCGCAACTCAACTCACCTCGCAATTTAGCGGGAGGGTACCTCTCGAGAGCTTCCAGCAGCTTGAGCTCCAATTCCACCTGCGATTGCTCCTTCTCGCGGGCGCAAACGATCGGACGTCGAAATCAGAACTCGTTTCCAGCTACCGGAAAAACGGACCAATTTGCATTCGAATGCAGCTTTTCGACAGAGATACCTGACGGAGAGAAGACGCAGAGGAAAGAGGCGCTTTGCACGGGGAATGCACCGACACTCCGTCTTGCTCCTCTTCCTTGCAACCGCCGCCGCCGCCTCTGCCCCCGCCGCCGCCGCCGCCGCCGCCGCCGCCTCCGCTGCCGCCGGCCATCGGTGCGACGAATCTGCGCAAGCGATCGGCAGAGTTTCAAGAGAAATCGGGAGCAAAACGATGTTTTTTTTCTTCTTTTTTTCTTCTGTTGTTTTTTGGTGGGCTTAGGGTTTCCTGGTTTGATTGTAATGGGCTTTTTTTTTATACCAGGCCTCATTGCCTCCCGATTGGGCTTTTTTTTTTATACTCGGGTCGGACATGTTCCTAATTTTTGGAACCGGAAACAGAACCCGTTGATCCTAGAACTGAACCGGCCGATTCCAGGCTCAACCCGATTGAGACCCTTTTTTTTTTTGTCTCATTGCATTATATGTACAATATGTATCATGTCAAACATGAAGACCATGTTAGCTTGTGAAACAGCAAACAGAATCGAATGTTGTAAGGCTTTGTTTGTTTTTTGGTAAATGAATGACTTGGAAAATATTTTTCATAAAAATGATCGCTTGTATCGTTTACAAATATGAAAAAGCAGCAAATAGTTTCATTGTCCGTGAAAATGTTTGGGTATAAATTGTTATCGAAACTGAAATCATTTTTTATTGGCTAATTATTTCGAACACAACGAGCAATCATTTTTAATGAATCTAATCGAAAGATCAGAAAAGATCAGGCAGGATAAGCAGTTTCATAAATTACATGTTCTAATGAAAAAAAAAGAGAGCAGACATGACAAGACATTTAAATACACACCTCACTCCTTTGTTCTTCTTCATGAATCTTGTGGGGGAGATCTCCTGCAAACATTCAATAAGAACCCAAGTTGAATATGATGGCTTGCAAATTTGATTTGCAGCAGCAATCTTTTGAAACAAATAGCATACCCAAACACATAGATCTGGACAAGCTCAGAGAAGATCTTAGACATCATGACAGTAACTGCAAGCATGGTGGGTTTAGACAAGAAGGGAAAATATCTAGTGTTGATTTTGTTTTGATAACTAATCATGCGAACAAAGATATCTAGATTTTAACTCGGAATCAGGCATGCCTAAGAGAGTGCAGTATATTCAAAGAAGAAATCACAAAGCCATCATTATTCATCGAAAACGAAACCGACGGTACCTCGGATCGGAGTGGAGTCGAGCCCACTACAGAGGAGGAGACTAGAGAGCGAGAAACGAGAGAGACAGACAGTCTCGAGAGAGAGAGAGGCGGCGAGACTGATAGGATTATATAAGAGAAAGAACCTAGGGTTACAACTTAGAGATGAACCGATTCGATTCCCGAGTAGAATCGACCGGTTTGGGATATAAAACCAATAACCAAATCGGTCCCGTGTGAATCCGCATTTAAATAGCCGGTTCGCGAGTTGAACCGGCTCGATTTCTCACTCCTAATTAAAGTTATATGATTGTCCTTTCATTTAATGATGAGCGTCGTATAAATATATAATGAGAAATTTATTCGCAAGGGTTATCTAGAGTGACTCATGCGATTCCTAATTGCAAGGGATTGTTAGTTAATCTTGCAAGAACTACTTTTGTTGAACTCTCAACTCTATGAAAAAAAAAAAAAAAACTCTCAGCTCATTATTCTTTCAACTAAGATTTGTACTTTCATAATTCGATACCCCGGAATATTGCTCAACCAGAAAGAAACATTAGTTTTTATACACTCAATTATTACAATCATATAACCGATTACATATAAAATTTTCCTATGTCACCATAATGAATTTCTAACTGTTGTCCAGTCCATGCATGTTACACTAATATTTCATATGAACTAAGAATTTCATCTTTATTTTGTTCAAAAGAAAGAAAGATTCATATGAAATGGAATAGAACTTAATATTAGGATTAATATCATGAAAAACCTCAAACCGGTACACCTGTGATAATTCGAAATTATATTTTTGACCACCAAAAACCTCAAACCGGTACATCTGTGATAAATTTACCCTATGTTAGTTTATATTAAATTGTACCGTTAAATTGCCGAATTGGATGAGACGTGACAGTTGACAGGTACACCAGTTTGGGTTTCACCTTCTGGTTATCACAAGTGTACCGGTTTGAGGTTTTTTCGTGGTATTAATCCAATTTAATGAAAACTGTCGGATGATAAATTTGTCATAAATGTACCGATTTTGGAATTTTTTGTGGTCAAAAAATTATTTTTAAATAAATTTATCATGAATATACCGATTTGGAGTTTTTCGTCGTGTTAACGGTAAATATTATCATTTTTCTTCCCGTGAAGTAGAAAGCTCATGCCGGGTCCAAAGCGTGTTCGAAAATCGACACGATGCGAGACATGACGCAATCAACCATGCGCATGAATTCGTAGACCATCCTTTCCAAGACGTGCGTGCCAAAGCAAGCAAAAAGCCACCAACTTAATTAAACTAATCGATCTTGTTCCAAAGTGTGGCATGCTACTTTCGGAGTTCTCCATGTTTGTTTTACGGGATTTATATACTCTAAGTCGTGGTCAAGTAACGACACCTCATTACGTGGCAACTTTTCACGTGCTTTATTTTATTTTCAGAGCGCTTTAAACACATATAATATAACGTCGTATTTAATACATTCTGCCGTCCAAGAGGGGATCGATTGAGAGCTAATTCAAGACCTGCTGTAAATGCTAATCTCCCGTCACTTCAGAGATGCCTTTCTCGCGCGAACCAAGTCGCAAACCTGCATTTGTTTTTCGCCTAGCATCCAATGCATATTCCCTATTTTGCAGGGGCAAGAAGCGAAAATCGGAACAGCCGGATGAGATTTCCGGTCCATGCTCGACCATCGGTTATTCGAGAAAAAATCGATTCGATGGGAAGTTATGCATGGAGGACTTTTGCGGCGCTTTTGCTCTACAAATTTACTTTTTACAAGATGATATAAACCCATAATAAGTTAATAAGTTAATGCCAATGTTTTTAACAGCGTTCAAAAACACGACCAGATATTTTATATTCTAATCATATTATGTGAGAGTTATACAATAGCGGAACTAGAATTTCCTGATTTAAACGTAGAAATTAGGACATGAGTCGCGGGTGTAATACGTAAGTAAGTAAGGATGGTGCGAGTTCTCTCTAAAAAAAAAATTTTTTTTCCTTTTCGAATCCGAATTCTCTATTTAACAAGGAAAAGAAAAACAAATTTTATTTTTCTTGAACGCGCGCAAGACCCCTGCGCCAACGACAAAAACGAATCGAAAACATTCGGGACGTCACCGTCGCTAACGACCGTCGCCGTCGCCGTCGCCGTCGCCCACCAACGTTGCGCTCGTGCATGACCTCTCTCTCTCTCGCACGGTCTCGCCCGCTCATTGCCCCAATGATCAGCGACCGGCATGATGGCGCTCCGCTCCCCCATGCTTCTCCTCTGACAGCGATGGCTCTCTCTCTCTCTCTCTCTCTTCGGCCATCATTATTTCATATGTTCTTTGGGCACCCCACCCAAAAAAAAGAATGATCTGTCAACCGACCACTTTTTTGTGTCATCTCCGCTTCGAGCTCGAACTTTCTTGATTCCATCGCTGTTGGCGTTGTCGCTTCCGCAGCTCCTTCTCGCTACTGTTCACGCACATCCCTTTTGTGGGTAGTCGTCTTCTTTGAGGAAACTCTCGCTTTCGTGGCTTCCTCCTCCTCTCGTGGTTTTTGATCGGAAGATGTCGTCGTCCATCACCGGCCCGGTTCGTTCTCCGGTCGGTGCCTCCGGCTCCAAGATGTCGTCTCTGTACCTGACGACCCGCGCAATCCCGGCCACTTCTGTTCTGCTCAAGGCCCGGAAGAGTTTCGCCTGCAACGCGTCGCGCCTCGCCTTCTCGCCGTCGCCGGAGCCTCCGAGGTTCTCCGGCGGGAGCGGGCCGTTCGGGCGGCGGCGTCTCGCCGATTCCCCGGTCGCCAGAGCGGCTGCAGCCGATGCGGAGGGCAGGGGGATTGGAGTTCCCGATGGGTGGGATGATCTCTCTTTAGTTTCGCTTTGTTTCCTCTCTATTTGTTGCTGAATTAAATGGAACAGGGGCGGAAAAAGATAAATATGGGAATTTTTTTGGTGTTTGTCTGTTCGTATTCTGTTCGTTTTGCCCTTCCTGGTTATTCTGAATATGTGTTGATGATAAGTGCAGGTTGGCAAAGCCATCCAAGAGCTTCGGAGAAAGATACCCAGCTCTTGTTACAGGCATATTTTTCTTCATGTGGTATGTGATTTCGTTCTGTTTTTGTATCATAATGTCGTGATTTTCCACTTAAAGTCTTGAGATGGTTGAATTGACTCTTCCTCATGTCGTTGCACCATAGCCGTGCAAGGCTGCTAATTCAAGTGCAGCAACACTCGATCTGAAGATGCTCTTACAAAGACATCATTATTCGCATCCAACAATCATTAATGCAGTGCTGAAGTTCTATTTCGAGAATCTCCGAGCCTTGAGCTTTTTTTTTAAGTTCGGTTGTCATAATTTTAGTGAAAAGGCGGTGATTCTGTGTAATTTGCATTGAGCTATGATCATCTGCTTCTCATGGGGGGAAATTAGAAGTAGAAGAAAACCACAAAGTAGATCGAGGACTGAAATAACCATGTGACTGCTTGCCAAAAAAAGAAAAGGAAATAATGGTGTGATATTTTCTTTTAATGCAGGTACTTCTTGAATGTCATCTTCAACATACTGAACAAGAAGGTCTATAATTATTTCCCGTATCCATAGTATGTTGTCCTTGCTGATTCACTTCCTCTGTGGAACATTTATAGATTTCCAGTTACTTGAATCAATGCTAATGCCAGAATTTAATTCCGCCTCATTTACATTCTCTATAGTAAGAGCAGACTTTTTACTTTTGGCATGTTTTGTTCCCACGCATGATCACCCTTCTTTTCCCTCCTGCAGCTTCGTTTCTGTCATACATCTTCTCGTTGGGGCTGTATATTGTCTGGTTAGTTGGGCAGTTGGTCTGCCCAAACGTGCAGTAAGTTCAATGCTCTGAGTGTTTATGCCCTTAGTCATCACACATCGTCCAACTAAAATTCAATTCACATGCTTTCATTACTTGAACAGCCAATTGATAGGGAGCTCTTAGCGTTGCTGACTCCTATTGCTTGCTGCCATGCCCTAGGACACGTCATGTCCAATGTGTCTTTCGCAGCAGTTGCTGTATCTTTTACGCATACCATCAAAGGTAAGCGGAGTCAAGAAAAGACCATCATGTTTGCGGACGTAAGTTCACTCTTTCAGCATATGCAGGATGACTGACGTTCAAATGCACACCGCTACCATAAGTGCTAGTAGCTCTTGTTATTAGCTATTTAGATACTTGAAGTTCTTACAGCAGAAGGGTTGTGCTCAAGGCGATCCTCTGCTTTACCTAATGCTCTGTTGTCTCGCGCAATTCTTTTGATTAGCGTAATATATAGTTTTTATCATTAATTGTTTTTCTTGTCATACCATTAACAGCCCTTGAGCCATTCTTCAACGCGGCTGCTTCTCAGTTCGTTCTGGGCCACCAGATCCCACTGTCCCTGTGGCTATCACTAGCTCCTGTTGTAATAGGTTAGTTGTGGATTTAGTTTTTGCTGCTTAATGCTTACTCATTCATGTGACAAACTTTAGTTTTATTCTGCTTTTCTTTTCTTTTCTTTTCTTTTTTTGCATCCAAAGTAGTTGAAACTGATTAGACTTTTTATATAAATGGTATCGATTATATCGTGTCAGGTGTGTCTATGGCTTCATTAACCGAGCTTTCTTTCAACTGGACCGGCTTCATCAGTGCAATGATCTCAAATCTTGCATTTACCTACAGAAGTATTTACTCAAAGAAAGCAATGGTGAGAAATCTATCAGAAAGCTTTTTGTTCAGCAATTTGATTCAGTTTAGCATGAGCCGTGGTGGAAGTAAAGATAGCACATCTAATGCTTCAATTGTTTCTTTGTTAAATCATCTAGTTGATGAGGATGCTAGTTGGTAGTTGCTCTTCTCGAATTTATTTGCACACTCTACGTATCTCAAGTCTTTCTCTCGAATTGAAGTTTCTTTTTTGTCTTTTCTGCAGACAGGAATGGACAGTACAAATGTGTATGCTTACATAACAATCATCGCTCTTCTGTTTTGCATCCCTCCAGCGGTTATTGTAAGCTTCTTACAAGTGATCAGCATTGATCACGGCAGAGATTTCAAATTCATTTGCTTTGTGAAATCATGCTCTGACTATCAGCCACAGATATAATGGCTTTCTCGTCTCTAAATTAATGGCGCCAGCTGCAACCTTTGAGCATCGTCTTGTTTCACTTTCAGATTGAGGGCCCTCAACTGATGCGATACGGATTTGGGGAGGCCATTGCCAAAGTGGGTCTTTTGAAGTTCCTGTCAGACCTTTTCTTGATTGGAATGTTCTATCATCTCTACAATCAGGTATAGCATGGATCTCCAGCGGATCGGCTTTGCTGTTCAATGTTTCAGAAAGAAGAACACTGAAAAATATAACAATATGGGGAAAAGATTATAAGGGCTAATAATTGAGTTTAGTAGTTCCCTCTCTCAAAAAAGAAAAGTTTAAGACTCTGTGGGTAATAACAACGCAGATTTCAAGCATTCCGTAGCCCTATATATGGAACAGAGTTCGATGTTGATACATCGCGAACGTGGTTGGTAACTGTCATAACCCCGTTGGTAACTAAAAAGTGACTCTATAACTTGAAAATTACCGACTACTATAATAACCTGACGGAATAACCCACATTTACTTCTGTGGGTTATTGCGCTTGTACTCATAGATTCGTGTCTCATGAACATGGTTGCCTTTTTTGTCCAGGTTGCTACTAACACTTTGGAACGGGTAGCGCCACTTACACACGCTGTCGGAAATGTTCTGAAGAGAGTTTTCGTGATCGGTTTCTCTATTGTCGTATTTGGTAATATCTCGCTACTATCTCCACTTCAATCTAATATAGCTAGCATTTGACTAGTTTCAGAACTACAGACACGTTTGTGCTCATAGATTCTGTACTTACAAAACTACAGGTAATAGGATCTCCACTCAAACTGGGATTGGAACTGCAATAGCAATAGCTGGAGTGGCCATCTACTCCCTCATAAAGGCGAATATCGAAGAGCAGAAACGGGTAATCATGTCGAGTTACCATCTTCTCATTATGTTTTCGAAACATCTTTCGACTGCAAGTGACAAGTGTTGCACTGCGGCCTCTGGAAAATGCTCAGTACATTCTTCTCTTCTGTCATCAATCTAAAAACACCCATCCCATCACGTCAAGCCAAATGAGTTCCTGAATCGACACTAATTTCCGCCGGCATATCAGCATTATCCAGCTGAAAATTTCAAGCTTTCTTCGTTCTCGGCCCGGTTTTACTCCACTGCCCTGACATTCTTTGCCTTGGTTTTTTCAGAAGGCTGCACCGGCCCCTGCTCAGTAACACGCCGATCGTGCGGGATTGACCGATTTCCTTGTACCCGTCCATGCATTTTTTAAGGTAATAAACATTAGACAAGCGAATTCTTTTACTGAGGTTAATACGAGCTAGCCGAGCTGCCTCGAAGACTTCTCTACATCTTCTTGAAACTGTAGCTACCGGGTCGAATTCTTTGTCTAAACTTGCATTCGCCGCGAACCTTTCAATTGATATTTGTGTAAGTACGCAGCCTCTAAGGGGGGAAGAAACAAGAAATAACAAATGAAGATGCAATGTTTCAGAGTGTTAATCACTCCCACCAAGGCCCCAAAGTTTCTCACTTTCTCAGGCTGAATCAACCTTTCAAGTTTCAACCGTGATCCTGTTTCGATTACATGCGAGTCGCGACTCGGGAATGAAACTGATTCGATTTCGCTGAAACGCAACCACGTTGCTGGGCGGACAAATTAGCAAAAATGATCAAAATCAAGGTTCCAATCATTGGTCGCCTATCATTTAGTCCAACATGCTACAACAGTTTGCATAGCCAGATGTTTGAATGTGAATCCACGACTGAAATTGGGAAAACTTGCAGAAATCGGGGACCGACACGAGAATATAACACCATGAAGATTCTGATTTGCATATCCCATCTGGCAGGGCCCATTCAATTGGAACAACTCGTGGGTGCATTCATGCTAAATGACAGGATTAGCAGCAAAATTGTGACATAAATTCCGGATTTATACTTTATAATAACATAATAATGATAATAATAATATGGCATGGGCTGTGCTGGGGACTATGTACAGCCATGGAAATTCAGCAATTGTCTTGAGCTCGAACGGCTAGTTGGCTCAGCATTAAAATAAATCTAATAAATGTACCAATCCCATGGAGAATCGCCTATCTTTTCTATTTCTTCCTTATTTATTTTTGGGAAATTATCAAATAAGGACCCAAAGTGGGTGCCTTTTTTTAAAAGAGGACCTCAAGTGGACAAAGTATCAATTAAGGACCCAAAGTGCCAAACTAGTATCAAATAAAGACCTGAGCTCGCCGGCCGGTCAAATGTTCTCCGGCCGGCGACCGGCCGACATTTCCGGCACCGGAATAGGGGTAATTTTGTCCAATTTTTTTTTTTTTCTTCTTCCCGTCGCGGTCCGACAATGCGGCGACCGGGCGTAGCCGAGGCCGGCGAGAGCTCGAGTTCGCCGGCCATCTGGGCGAGATCGGCTGGCGAGCTCTGCCCAGATCTGGGCGAGCTCGAGCTCGCCGGCCATGGCGAGCTCCGCCCAGATCTGGGCGAGCTCGAGGAGGCCGGCCTTGCCCGGATCGCGTAGTCGAGGGCCTTGGCGGGGCCGTCGCCGGAAGCGATGGTGTCGCGCGCGAGCTTGAGGAGGAAGGGCCCGGGATCCGGGTTGTCGAGGGCCGTATCGGGCGGGGCGGGGCTAGCGGCGGAGCCCGGTGACTCCGGCGGGGGCTTCCGTGGGGAGAACTTGGAGCGGGAAGGGGAGGGGGAGGGTGCCATGGCCGGCGAGCTCGAGCTCGCTGAGACCGGCGGGAGCTCGAGCTCGCCGGCCATCCGGGCGAGCTCGGCCGGCGAGCTCGCGCCGGATCCGGGCGAGCTCCGCCTCGGCCGGCCCGCACAACCATAGCAAGGGCCGGCATGAGCTCGAGCTCGCCCAGATCTGGGCGGAGCTCGCCATGGCCGGCGAGCTCAAGCCCTCGCCCACCGCCGGCGAGGGTCGCCCTCGCCGCCTGCCCAGCCCAGTCGAGGGCGACCCTCGCCGGCGCCGGGTGAGGGTAGCCTCCGCTTGAGGCCAGCGACCTCCACCGGCCCCGGCTATGGCCGGTGGAGGGAAGAGAAAAAAAAAAGAAAAAGAAAAAAAAAACAGAGATGAAATGTACTTGTTAGGTTGCTTAGGAATAGTAATCTGTCATCGCCTGGCGAGAGATTTGACCGGCGGCGAACCCAGGCCCTTACCTCGAGACAAATTGAGTACTTCGGACCTCTATTTGAGATTGATTGGGCACTTCAGATCCTTATTTGACACTATGTTCACTTTGGGTCCTCTTTTGAGAAAAGGACTCCACTTGGGGTCCTTAATTGGAATTTTCCCTTTATTTTTTAATGAAAGGGCCTCTTAACATTCTGAGTAATTTGAAAATCATTTTCCTAATTTTAATCATGAATCCATGTACGATGTCTTCATTGTTAATGACGATATATGCCGAAATACTACAAAACAGGAGCAAAGCTCCTACAAGAGCTTCTGCGACCTGTCCGTTGGTGTGGCGGGCTTCATAGATGCGTTCTTTATTTTAACGAACCGATGCCTGCATGTCCTATACTTTCAATTCTCACCTTATATTTTTTCTTCATGGTAAGAGGGAATACCGTCTACTGTTTTTACAACCCCAGAGTATTGGGTTAAGTCCAATAATGGAAAATATTTTTAGTTAACTTATTTTTTTAAGCGATGTAAACGATTCGAATTAAGTAGAATTTGGTTTAAAGTATTTATTTTTCGTGAAACAAAAAGAGTCTTTAAGTCTGGCTTCTTCGCCTCATTCAAGTACTTGTTGAACCATGGAAAAAGATTTGACGGTGTGCTTTAAAAAAAAAAAGAACTCTAATTAAACTCAAAATATGGTTCCTTAGACCTAAAAGATAAATGTTAACAACTATAATTTTTTTGGGTTAAAACCACAAAAAACTTTAAATTGGTACATTCGTGATAAATTTATCCCGAACTAATTTTTGGATCACCAAAAATCCCAAACTAGTATAACTGTAACAAACTTTCTCCAAACTAATTTTTGAGTCACCAAAAATTCCAAATAGATACACGAGTGACACATTTATTATCCGTTAGCTTTCATCAAATTTTCCCATGAAATTGTTGAGCTAGATAACACATGACAATAATTCAATTAACGTGACAAGTTGGGTAAATGTATTATGTGTGTACCAGTTTAGGATTTTTAATGACTCAAAAATTAATTTGGGGATAAATCTATCACATATATATATATCATGTACATATTATTTCGAGATTTTTCGTCATATTAACTCAATTTTTTTTTCCAAATACCAATCACTTTAATAAAGACAGTACCTGTTACACAACGAAATCATAGTCGCTCTTCAAAGCTGGTGCAGGGAATGGTCAGTGCCAACAGGTAAAAACTAAATGTGGTCATGGATATGATGGCACTAGTTCGCCTGCGCCAGCTTCTGTCACTAGGGCTGGAAAATAAAATTCAGGTAAGTTTGAGCTTGAACCAGGTCCACACAATCCGAAAAAATAAATATCCATTTCGATAACGAGCATGCCGGAGCAACGAATGAGGTTCGACCTGAGCCCGGTTCAAGCTCACTTATTGATCGCCTCTAGTGATAAATAGAGCGAGTGTAGGAAATTTTGAATTCTCAAGTCAAATTTGGTATTCGAGAAACTTATTGCGAAGCTTATCTTTTGAGTCTAGAGTTTTGCCTATTTAAGGCTCAAAGTCTGGGAGTTGTTACTTGTATGTCCTCACTTTCATGTTCCGAAAAATAGACACGCGAGTTCGAATTAGATGCACCCACCTGCGTTGGTATTCCAAAACTTCGAGCGACAGCAATCCAAGTTTATGTGCCTACTTAAATTTCGGCTCGGTCTTATTTGATTTAGGCTCTGTTGGTTTTACGAAAAAAAATATTTTGGAAATTTATTTTCTAAAAACATTATTCAATAAAAAATATTTTCATCATCGACAAAAAATTATGTCTAAATATTTTTCGCGCCCGAAGAAAATGTATTTTGTTCATTCTTTTCTCTAAGCGAAATAAGTGATAATTTTTAATTTTTTCGGGAAACAGACGGAGGGCGTTATTGTCACGGGAAAATAGTCAAAAAACTCTTAAATTTATTATATTTTTATTAATTGAGTCCTAAACCTTTTATATCTATGCCAATTCAGTCGATCCGACGAATTCAATATGTAGCGGTGTTACTGTGGTAATTTCGATCTCAATGAAAGCTCGATTTTCTAGGTTCACTTCACGAATAGAAAATAGCCCCAGAAAACAGAAAATTGAAAGGACGAGAGAGGTGGTGACGATGCCAGACAGCGACAGGTCGGCCGGGGCTGAAGAACCTCAAAAGTGGGACCGGGATCTTGCAGAGGGTGAGACAGACAGACACACAGACAGAGACCCCACCAAGCCCTGAGCCCAAACCCAAGGTTGGGTTAAGCAACCCGGGTTTATGACCGTTGCGAGAACAGTCGATCAAATCTCACAGCGTTTTGCTCACTTCCCCATGACACTCCTCCCCATTCCCCCCCCCCCCCCCCCCCTTATGTCAGGCATTACTTTAGTAATTCTCCATCAATTGAAGCCATCACTATATAAAGATGCATCCTTGAACTTCTCAAAAATCCGACGAAATTGCTCAAGAAACCAAAATCCCTCCTAAAAAAGAAGAGAAAGAGAGAGAGAGAGAGAGCTGCATTGCTATTCTGACACTGTACTGAACCCCCGTCGCCCTCGATTTGTTGCTGCCTCCTAGAAATCTTCATTTCCAACACAAGCTCCCTCCATCTCTCTCTCTCTCTCTCTCTCTCTCTCTGAATCAGCCATCTGGCTCTCAAGCTCAACCGGAGCTCCCTCAACAGTTTGGCAGCGGCTGCTCTGTTAAACCCTTCAATGGCTCTCCTGGTGTTTCTGGCGCTTTTCTTGGCCTTCACTGGCCATTCAGGTAAGCTTATGAATCTTTTTCTATCCCTCCTTTTCCTTTTGACATCAAGTGGGTAAGCAAAATGACAGAGAGGGTTCTCATATTTTCCCTTCTTTTGCCTTTTCTTGGTCTTCTGCTCTGGCTAGCGTGACAAAGTTTTGATCTTTACACTCTCCTTTGCCTCGCCCCCCGCCCCCCACTCCCCCCACCCCCCCAAAAAAAAAAACCCATCTTTTCCACGACCATTTTTTTCCTGAAAGCTCTGTTCTTTTTCGCGAACCTACACCTCCTACTGCTTGTTGGCCGTTTTCTCAATCATTTTTCGTTCCTTTTATTTTTCTTTGGGTGTTTCTGTTTTAGGTGCAACATACTGCTTGTGCAAAGACGGGGTCGGTGACCAAGCCCTCCAGAAGAGCCTGGACTATGCCTGTGGAGCTGGGGCTGATTGCTCGGCCATCCTTCAGAACGGTGCTTGTTACCAGCCCAACACCATCAAGGACCACTGCAACTACGCCGTGAACAGCTATTTCCAGAGGAAAGGCCAGGTCGCCGGTAGCTGCGACTTCTCCGGGACCGCCACTCCTTCAACTGTTCTTACGAGTATGTGCATTTCTAATGTTGCTGAAATTTGAAAAACGAAACAGGAAAAACAAACCCTCCATTTCTGATTTCAGCGAATGTGAGACTGGGTGTTTGTACGGGCTGAGACAAATGTTTCACTGTGGCTTTTTGCAGATCAAGCCTCTGGGTGTGTCTACCCTTCAAGTCCAAGGTACATCCATTCCCCATATTTTCTCAAGAAAAGTTACCTTTTTTTAGATAATCTGCGTGAAGTTTGATAATCAATCACTCTCTCTCACCAAGAATATAAAGAGAACAAGAAAAGAAAAGATTTTCCACTTTTCATGGGTCTATTCATGTCAGCGTCGTTTGCCATTTCACGACACCAAAACACAAAGACTTCGCTTTCTTGTTCTTTTATTACTTGCACGAGCAGCGTTGGTACTTTTCAGATTTGGTGGTGAGTAATGTCTGAGAACATGACGCATGAGAGGCAGATCTTGCACCCGAGGGGTTCAACCACCGCGCTGAACTCTTTTTCCAGTCAGAGCATGCTTGGCTCTCTGGGAGAGAGTTTCCTGAGCTGTACCTGACGTTGATAAATATTGCATGCCTTCCTTGTCATCCTTCGTAATAAAGAAGAAAACGTCTCGTTATTTCCCTATCTCGTGGAAACAGCACATTAGTGTTTTCTTATTCTAAGCACATTCGCTCAATTTTCCTAGAAGGTTCGGTCTTTGTTCTTTTCCCCAAGAATGAGGAACCGACCTTCAATAAATTGATCTCGAGTCAGATGAAATACACTGTAAAACTTGCCTCCACATCATATTATAGATGAAGTCAACCGTGACTCACCTAAACCTTTAGGTTCGCACTAGGTTTACAATAAGATTAGTTGATTATGTCACTTCACTAATAAAGAAACAGCTCTTGTGCTCTGCCTACTTAGACATTGACATTGTTGCTGTTCTTTCTTGGTCCGGTGCCAGCTCAATCACGTCCACCACTCCGGCATCCACCACCACGACCATATCACCGCCGGGAACCATCACCACCACCCCGCCCACGGCGTTCAATGGTGGCACGGGGATAGGGTTAGGCCCCACCGGCATCAACGACACCAGCGATGCCGCCGATCTGGCTCTCTTCGGGGGCATCATCAAATCAGTCCTCTTCTCTCTGGCTGTCATTCCCTTGCTGTGGGGTTGAAGTTCAAGGGCCCAAGCGCGAGTACCAGTTGAAAGACGTGTGGTGGGTGGGGTTTTGAATCTGTGGAGGTCCTCAAACAGGACATGTTCCACCACGGGTAGAAATTTGTGTAATTTCAAGGGTTTGGTAGAGGACATTGAAGCAACAAAGCCTGGACCAATTTTTCTTTGTTCCTTTTATCTTTCTTGCTTTCTTTTCTTAAGAAAAAGGCTTTGGGGATTTTATGTATATGTAGACTTAGAACATGTTCCTTAAAATTGGAGGGAGTTTTGGTGGTATGCTAACTTAAGTGGAAATGGTCGGTCGCTATCTTTCCTAGTTTATTCGTTGATTCGATTCATTTGAAGTTTGGTGCGTTTTTATCTTTGCTTTTATGGGGTTTTGTGGTCGTTCAGAACTTGTTCGATCTGTTGTTGTTTCCTTGTGCCGCTGGTCATTAGTTTATTAGGACTGTTTGGTCTTGGGTTGATTGAATAAATCGAGCCAAACAGTCGCTGTGCCCCATGTGGCCGTACACATTATTCGTTCCGTTTATTCATTTATTTATTTTTTGGGAATTACCTAGACTGTGGTCCACTAGATCGAATCGATCTGCGCCGTTGGTTTTGTGGAGTTCACTGATGGGGCTTGCATATCCGATGATTGTCAAGAACCCTAGTCGAGGCAAGAATTTCCCTAGTTATGTAAAAGACTTGTCATCAAAGATTGGAGTTGTTTTAAGGGAAAATTCCAATTAAGGACCCCAAGTGGGGTCTTTTTTTCAAAAGAGGACCCTAAGTGGACTTAGTATCAAATAAGGACCCGAAGTACCTAAAAAGTTTCAAATAAGGGCACGGGTCGCCACTAGGTCAAAATACTGCGGCCGAAGAAGAATGTTACTATTCCTAAGACCGCAACAGTAACTTTTAATTTTTTTTTCCTTTGCTGTTTTTTTTCTTTTCCTTTTTTTTTTCTTCTCTTCCTCCGCCGGGGCCGGCGGAGGTCGTCGGCCTCAGGCAAGGCCGCCCTCGCCGGCGTCAGGCGAGGGCCGCCCTCGCCAGTTGCCGGCGAGGTCGAGCCTCGCCAGATCTGGCAAGGGCTCGCCCCCACCGTCCGCTGGCGAGGCTCGACCTCGCCTGCCTCGCCGGCAACTGGCGAGGCTTGACCTCGCCCAGCAACGGCGAGGTCGAGCCTGGCCAATTCTAGCGAGGCTCGACCTCGCCGGCGTCGGGCGAGGCCGGCCTTGCCGTTGCGAGGCGAGGCCCGGCCTCGCCCGACGCGGCGAGGTCGAGCCTCGCCCGGCCGCGGGGCCGAGCCCTCTCCCGGATCTGGCGAGGCTCGACCTCGCCGTCCGCCGGCGAGGTCGAGCCTCGCCGGATCGCGAGGGCTCGGCCCGCCCGGCCTCGCCGGCGACGCCGAGAGGTCGAGCCTCGCCGGCGCCCGGCGGGCCGAGCCCTCGCTAGATCTGGCGAGGCTCGACCTCGCCGGCGTTGGGCGAGGCCGGTCTCGCCTTTGCAGGCAAGGTTGGCCTCGCCAGCGAGGTCGAGCCCTCGCCGGTAACTGGCGAGGCCGACCTCGCCCAGCCCAGGCGAGGGCGGCCTCGCCTGAGGCCGGCGACCTCCGCCGGCCCCGGCTATGGCCGGCGGAGGAAGAGAAGAAAAAAAAAAGAAAAGGAAAAGGAAAAGAAAAAAAACAGAAAAGGAAAAACATAAAAGAAAAAATAAAAAAAATTTAAAAAGTTACTGTTCCAGTGCCGGAATAGTAACATTCTTGCCGGTCGGAAGGCATTTTGGCCGGCCGGCAACCCAGGCCCTTATTTGAAACTTTTTGGGTACTTCGGGTCCTTATTTGAGACTGATTGGGCACTTCATGCCCTTATTTAACACTAAATCCACTTGGGGTCCTCTTTTGAAAAAAATGCCCCACTTGAAGTCCTTAATAGGAATTTTCCCTTGTTTTAATGATGCTTAAGGTCTTTGGCTGGGAAAAGTATTTTCTATGTCGATTACATGGCTGACCGCGTAGGATGAGTGACTGAACACATAGTTGATTAGCTTGTTTAATCACGTGTCGATTTCACGTCACGTGAGATAGATTCTCTTTTGGTAGCATCAACAAATCGATTTGATGAATTTTCAGCTTCCATTGGAAAATTCACATCATGATTGCAACAAAATGGCGTGACCCTAAAGTTTTTTTTTTTACCCTAAAGTTTATAATTCGAAGATTTTTGAATTGTTGGTATACTGAAAGATATGCCATTCAATCACTCTCAAAGGGAAATTTTGAACATGATGTTAGGATGAACAAGTTTGACCCTAAAGTTTGTTTTACAACTGTCTTTGGATGGTGAGCTTATTGAAAGTTATGACATTCAATCGATTAAATCTTTTTCCTTAATCATTTGCAGGCCGCAACCATTCTTATTTATTAAATGTATGCCGAATATGGTTTTCCATTGTGCGTATACGTTAAGCGTCGATATGAATCTCTGTTGGCAATAGCTTAGAATAATATGATTAATGTGGAGGGTATATAATAACTAAGTAGTACGCATTCTTTTATAGAAAATGGGCTATTCAAATACTAACCATTGTTTTGTGAATTACACAAAATAATTCGAACTTCAAATCAATTTAGGTCTCGCACTTTGACTAGTCAGATGTTTCAACCTCTATTGTTTGGTATGGCTATGACTGGATTTGAATTGTGTAGTGAGATGTTATAATATACGTACTTAATAATACATGTTCCGAAATAGCAACACCTTAAAGTTGGGTGAGATAACTTTCTAAAAGTTATTGTGGCTTTGAATGTGTCATGGCTATGAAGTGTTAGTCAAACACTTTATAAAAGCTACGGCATTCCTCTTCTTCTTTTTTTAAAAGCTATTACTACTGCCAAAAAAATTGTACCAAACAGCGTTTTCTCAAAACAATCCGAGCATAACCCAATGGGGTTCCTTAGTGATTAATGATTGGACTTGTCATCCATAAGTTTGATTTTCCACACTACCATGTGCAAATAATTTCACATTTGAGCTTCTCAGATGAATTCGGCTCGTGTTTTACTTGGTCTATGAGATTAGTGTAGTATTTTTTAGGCTCGTGATTTACCTACCTAAGATAGGCTTCATTAGGGAAGGGAAAAAAAACCATTCTTAGCTATGAGGGTTAAGGCTTGTTTGGCAAAACTAAAAAATAAGCATAAAAAATTTAATCACTAAATTTTGAGTTGCGATTCTTAATTAGATCATTGTTCAACATTTATTCCTTATCAAACATAAAATTGGAATTTCGACCAAAAAAAAAACATAAAATTGGAATCGTTATTGGTAAATTTCTTAACAATATAAAAAGCATGCTTTAAACAATTAATCGGCAAGACATAATTAGCATCAATCACTTTTCTACTTGATAAATTAAGTAATCTCATCCTTTGTTATCGTATTAGCTAAATCCCCGACTTAATTGGATCTTTTGAGTCAATTTTAATTAAGGTTACTCATCAAAATTAATCTCATTAAGTGTTGAATTTATATTTTCGGCCCTTAATTCAGATTGTCTTTTTTTTTTTTTTGGTCATAGCCCTTAATTCAGATTGTCAAACAGGCCAAACTAGAGTTTAGAAAAGGAACGAATATCACAAGGCCCCGTGATTTGGCGCTGGAAAGTCATACACCCAAGTAGGTGGCGTGCTGATTTCGATTATCGACTTACTTATTTACACGTGGCGCAGACTGAGCACCACGTCAGCAAGACGGGAAAGAAAGGTCAAAAAGACGACGGCGGCATTTCTCCATCTTCCGACACCGTTCGCCGGAATCTTCGCACGAAGGAATTTCGCTCGCGATTGCGATGTTTGACTGCGGCGACCGATGCATATTGGGCTGGCGACTCTCTGTTTCTCTCTCTAGCTCCCCGCCTCGACACGACACCCGCGGCTGGCATTCAGAATGCGCTGATCTCTTCACCAGCCCCTTGTTTCGCCGGATTTCGGACTGGGTGTTTGTCGATTCACTGCGACGATGGTGAGCGAATCGCGCCAGCAGCTGTTCTATCCTCTTATTATGTCTCTGGTGGAAGAATTTGAGATGGGTTTCGGTTTTTGAATGATTATGATCTGTTGCTTGCTATTTGGCCGGTCGCTGCTTGGGTCGGATTTAGCTGTGCTTGATTCGGTAACTTATCTTCTAGTGGTCGGATCATCAGATACCGTTCTACCCTTTTCTGGTATTCTAATGTTTGGTTGGTGAGTAGTTCTTGTGTGAGAGCGTATATGCTGGTCAATGTTCTTATGCTTCGCAATTGCCTATGTAACTCTGAGTATTCAATGTAGAATGTGACTTTCTATGTGGTGGTGTTGTTAGCTTTTGTTCTTTTTTTTTTTTTTATCTTTTGGCCATAGTGGGTCGTTTTAGTTGTTAGAGAGGATTGGGAAGCATGAGCTGTCGGTGGATCATGAGCTCTTGCGGTGTCTGATGTCACCTCTTCGGCTTCCCCTGATGACTTTTCTCCATGATTCCATAGATGGCCTCTACTGTATGCACGGTTGGCATGCCGTTATTTGTTGTTGCTCTGTGAGTTAACGATGTGGGGTGTGACAAAAAGGGTGGACATTTATCTAGGGCAGTGGTTGCTAACCTAGTGATACTTGCCGGAACCACGGTAATTCTGAGTTTAGGAGTGTCTGCCGTATAAGTTCTTTCATGATTGAAAGGCCAAAAGAAAGGAAGTAACTTGTCTCCTACTATCCATTTCTGTCTCACAGGATTTCTCGTGGACACCTTTCGTGACTTTTTCACCAATAGAAGGAACAACTTCCAGTGGTTTGAAAATGTATCTCGTGGAGAACAAAGTAGGAGCCATAGCATGCATGCTGCTTTCCCTCTTCTTCTTGGGAACGTGGCCTGCCATCTTCACTTTTCTGGAGAGGCGAGGCCGCCTTCCGCAGCATACTTATCTGGATTACAGCGTCGCCAATCTCCTGGCAGCTGTCGTTATTGCCTTTACTCTCGGGGAGATCGGGAAGGGCACCACAGATTCGCCTAATTTTCTGGAGCAGCTTTCTCAGGTGACTTTCTCCTTCCAAACAATCAGATGTGGTTGACATGCAACTTCATGCTGTCCCATTTTGTTTCTCCTCACTCTTTCCGGATTATGCTTGTCAAAAGGAGTGTTTGAGTCCTCTACTTTTTGTCACTGCTAGTATGTGTCAGTCCTTGTTATAGTTTTGCAATCTTACAGAAGTAATTGATGCAGGATAATTGGCCATCCGTTATGTTTGCTATGGCAGGTGGAGTGCTCCTCAGTCTCGGAAATCTTGCTACACAATATGCGTTGGCTTTGGTTGGTTTATCAGTGACATTAGTGATCACTTGCAGCATGACTGTTGTTATAGGTACTTATCCATTTCTCCATGCTTGATGGTTTGGTCATTGTATGCTAGTAAATAACGAGGCACTTTATTTAGAGCAAACCAGAAGGACCCCATGCTGTGCAAAGGAATTTGCTGACCTTCCTTAGTAACTGATACATCCGGGTCATAGTATCAGTTCTGTAGCTTATGGTCTTTGTTTTTTGTTTGTGACACTTTGACAGGCACAAGTGTAAACTACTTCTTAGACAACAGGATCAACAGTGCGGAGATTCTTTTCCCAGGAGTTGGTTGCTTTGTTATTGCAGTTTGTCTGGCCTCAGCTGTTCATGCATCAAATGCAGACGATAGCAGAATGAAGCTCAACCAGTCAGGTCTTGGTAACGTTGATGCCAAGTATGCTTATTTGTCTATATCCCCTATGATGAATGTGCTGTCTTTGTCTGAGCTGATGGGCCTGATTCATCCACACTTCTCCTGGAGTGTGATGACAAGATGGATTTGTATTTTACCTCTAAAATCAATAGAAATGCCATTTACAAGAAGCGGTTTAAGAATTCATTTGAACTTCTTTTGGTAACACCTAGAAAAGTTGGTTTTTCTACTGTTTTCAAATTTAAGGATCTTTCTGAAGATTCTTTTGATGATTGCTCTCAAGAAACATCCCATCATATGTCCCCTTTGGGGCCACTTCAGATTATCAGAAGATAAAAGCATGGTTTTCTCACTGATCTTGCTTATGGCACTTCTAATTGAATTTCAACAGGACTTCAAGCTTTGCTTCCTTGCAAGGAGTACATCAAGACAATGGTAGAACTTGGATTCACTATGCTGTGAACAAATCAATTTAATTTCCATTTTCCAAAAACGACACCTTTGGTTCCTCATTTCTGCCTGCTCTAACAATAGGCTTCTTTTCAGAAGATGTGGAAAATGCGAGTGATTTGTCTGAGAAGTTGGAAGTAGGGACAGCGGATTTTCTGATCGAACTTGAGAATCGAAGAGCAATTAAGGTTGTTGATTTTATCTCACTGAACTGATTCTTGAACCCAAAGGAGTTTAAATTCATCTGAACATTTTGCACTTTTTACATCTACTATGCTAGGAGATTATCAGTGAATGCGTGTCGAACTGCTATAGGAAATTTAAGTGATCCATGTTTTCTTTCTGCATCTTCTTGCAAATGATGACTTGCAGTTCGTTCTTCATGACTTGTTGTAGGTTCTTGGGAGGAACACTTTGTCTGGTCCTGGAATAGCTTTCTTCGGTGGTGTCTGCTTTGCTCTTTTCTCGCCTGCATTTAATTTGGCAACAAATGATCAATGGCATACTTTAAAGGAGGGTGTTCCTCACTTGACAGTTTACACCGCATTTTTTTACTTCTCAATATCATGCTTCATCGTTGCCGCTGTTCTGAACGCCAGCTTCCTCTACCACCCTATTCTCGGTTTACCCAGATCATCATTCAAAGCTTATGCAAGTCACTGGAATGGAAGAGGCTGGGCTCTTTTAGCTGGCCTTTTGTGCGGATTTGGTAATGGCCTCCAATTTATGGGAGGCGAGGCTGCCGGATATGCTGCCGCAGATGCTGTTCAGGTTTGTTGTTGAGCTTACAAGTACATGTGCTTGAGTGATTTCACTAAGAGTATATTATGAAGCATCCTCATGACGATGTGATCCGTATTCCCCCTAGTTAAGCCTACAGCAACCACTGTTAAGTTGCTATTATATCAACTGCTTTTTGGTGATCAAGACAAATGCAAGTCAATTTTAAACCAACATGAAACCATTTGATATTACATCATAAAAACCAAATTTGGAATGATTAAATAGCTCATTCTTGTGCTTAATTATAGCTTTGCAATATTGCAACAACTAAAGAGGGTATGGCTGTGATTTGGTCTTGACACATGCTTTTCGTTATTGTTTGATATACAGAAGTTTCAAGTATGAAATATCAAAGTTTTGCGATGGCAAAAAGTATAGTTGTTGCTTATGAGAAATAGAAGAATTTTGTTACATTGCAGGAAAGAATTGCTCCTCATCTAATCTCAGCTTCATGCAGGCACTCCCACTTGTTGGCACTTTTTGGGGCATACTTCTGTTTGGAGAGTACCGCAGATCATCAAGGAAAACCTATGTGCTGCTCGTCAGCATGCTGGTCATGTTTATCGTGGCTGTCGCGCTTCTCATGGCGTCAGCGGGACAGCGCAGCGTGAGCGCAAGTGCCTAGTTCTTTCCAAGATTCGTTATCTACACGAACAACGATCGCATTTGATATGGGATGGTGGTGAATTCCGCGGTAATAGAGTGGTGGAATTGCATGCTAGTTCGTGTCGAAGCTCATACCAAATGGAATAGGATTCCGGAAACCGGGTGAAAGAATCATTCATTTTTTATCCGGAGAAATGGAAGGAAGTTCAGGCTTTGGGGTCTAGACATCAAGGAATTTCCTCGCTGTCCACCGGGGACGAAATCCGGCACCCGGGAACTGAATGCATTTGGTTGATTTCCTACAGCCATTGTTTTTGGTTGTGAATTATTTTGGGTTTGGGTTTGTCTGTTATTATTTAGGTTCACCAGATTTTCTAGAATTTGAATAACATAGAAAGAATCTGAATGATCAAATTTGGAAGAGCTGTAAAAATGAGTCATAAGTCCATATTTTAACTCTTATTTATTGGAATGGGTTGAAAATGTGTCACCTCAATTGTGAAATATGGGTCAAAAATGGATTAGATAGACAAGTTTAATCAATTCTTTTAATTTTCTGATTTTTTATAATTATATAATTGATTTCTCTTTTCTTTCTTTTCCTTTTTTTTTTTATGGAAATCCAACAAGGGTCGTAACTTTCGGCAAGATTCGATAGTTTTTGGGTCGTTTTATAAATAACGTTATTCTTCTCCGGTGCTCACCTCTATTATGCACCATGAGTTTTCTTTTTTTTGTTTTAAGGAAAAGTTGAAATAAGAATGGGAATTTGTATGGAAGATGGAATTTTATTCCTAACGATTTAAACCAGAGAAGAAATAATTTGACTTGACTCAATGTTATGTAATTTCATGTAATATTAACAAATGCAACGAAGTTGTTTGTGTCCACCGGTCATCTCCGCAGACCCCTCCCATTGGAAACCCGAATTCCATGCAGCTAGCTCGCCACTACTCGTTTTTTGGTTGTTCCATTGCTTATTAATAACCGGAACAACCAAGGGCGCATAGCTAAAAAAGAGCGAAAAGGACTCCGCTAATAAATGGTATCATTGATTGTGGAAAATTACACAAGACTACTACATGCATGTGGGCAATTTGAACCCCACTGCAACAATCATCTTAATCCGGTGAAAAGTGAATGCTTCGAGACATCTTATTCTCTCTTTCATGCTCGAGACATTTTGGCCGTGCCTATCTTGACTGTAGCATCACAGGCTGCATGGAGCATAGAAGGTCGGTGTGCTTGACGTGTTTCGTAGCTCATCCACCTGAGCGTAGAGGCTCTCGTGTGTGCTCATGATTAGGTACGATGGGCGCCACTCCCACTTTCGATCGAGTAGGACTTATAAGATCTTTAAAATTTTGAATCAAGTGAAAAAAATATTTTTACAGAATATTTATGGGCTTCTATATTACAATGGACACTTTAGTTCTCATTTTAATCATGAATCTAATGCAGAATTGTCAAATACGACTTTGGATCCGAACTCAGCTCTATGTTGGATTCTCTTGATAATTGAGAAAGTTGGAGATTGGTACTTGTCAAACCCGTTACTTATCTTTATTACGGATTTGGTTCTTGGTTCGGATTAGCGTGGTGGACTATGCCACTAGCAATTCTCGAAAGATCTTCAGTTCTAACTAAGCTAAATATTTGTGGGAAAGAATTCACACATGGAAGCATCAACTCCAGCTTCTACCTTTGAGTTTAGCTTTTCATCACGTGCCACTCAGTGGTCTCCTATATTACGGTTGTGAAATGTTTTATTGAGGAGTGAGAGTACTGTGCACGACTACCAGACTGTAACAATTTGCTGGAGCTGGAGAGGATCGACGAGTTCCTTTTTGTCAGTCGTATGTGCGATTTCTGTTATTTCGCCATATGTCAAACGAAAAAAGTTGTGTTGATGATTTGTTGACTGATATTTCCTGTTCTTTTCCATCTTACATTACTTGTCTCGAGTTTGTAGAATGTAATGTTGATGGTTCTCATCGGGTGTGGGGGAACAGGCGCTTGCTGCTGCTGGGGAGCGTTGTCTTGATCCAATCCCTCTGGAGCCACCGATCCTGGACAAAAGTTCTCATCAAAGGGTTGATGTTTGGCCACAAAAGTTCCTCTGTTCTACTGCATCTTCCTCAGTTTCTGTTACAGCCTTCATTTTCGCTTTCTCGAAGACAGACTTGGGTTTTGACAAATTAGTTTGATCATGTGGCCGAGATTAAGATTCATGAGATTAACCTGTACTAAGGAAGGAGGAATATCTGTCTCTCTGTTTCACGACTGTCTCTAGTCTTGACGAATCAGATCAATAAGACCAGTTTCAAGGATCCAAATCCAGCTTTTGAAAAGTGCATTACTATCTAAGGGCATTGGTGGGTTTTGATTCGACAGTGCATGGTTTTCTAGCAATTTAGAAATTGGGACCATAGCTTCTAAGTATGGCTAAGTGACTAATGCAAGCGGGGAGCATCTGAGCTTTAGTCATTAAGAAATTGCAAGTGAGTAGCCTTAATTAGCATTGACTTATTCACCAATGCAATCCTGCGAGGACATATAGACATTCAAGCAAACCGAGTGGAATATCAATCGTACACGAATCAACATCTTCTCGATCTGGAAAGAACGTCCAACCTAGTCGCTCAGAAACAAAAATTTGCAAACAATCCCATGGCCAACGTTTGCCTGATTTACGAGACAAGCATAGGAGTACATTCCCCCAAAGATCTGATGATGTAAAAATTTTTCTAAGCGACTCACATCCCAACCATCTATATATTTATGTTCAATGTATTGTGATTCCAAATCTCCAATACTCTCTATAGTCTTTTCACTAGCAATTCGTCTGCTTGCTTTTTCGGTGCCTTTCCCGCTCTTTGTTCGTCGAGATTACTGTTGAGTGAGGATGAAGAGAGGCACGAGAGTTGTGGAATGGTTTTCATTAGCTGTTTTGGCTATGGCTGCGAGCTCCATCGTTCGAGTGAGGTCACATGGAGAACAGCCTCTGGCTCGAATCGCCGTCTATGAGACGGTCTTCGCTCTTGATGGAAGAGCAACCATCAAGGCCTCCCCTTCAGTTCTTGAACTGACGGTAAATCTTTGATTGCGTGTTCTTCTTGTTGAGTTTATTGCTTTTTGACTGTATATAGCCAGATTATATTACTGAAATAGCTAATGCCAGGCATCATAGGCACGGTTGTTTGATTGGGTTCCCTAAGCTGCTTTGAAACTTTTTTAGTATTTTGTATTGAGGACTTTGGTCCACCATAATATGAAAGATGTGGCCGAGTTTGACGCAAGCTACATCTACTGTTCTAGGGGCAAAATGCGGAGTGGATATCGTTGGATTATAGCTCTCCAAACCCATCCAATGATGATTGGATTGGAGTATTTTCTCCCGCGAATTTCAGGTGGTTAGATTGCTCTGCATTGCTAGTTCAATATTCGGCATTTGTTGCCTTTTCTTGTTCTGCTTTAGTTTACTAATGAGTACGATGATTATTCATGTTTGATACCCCTCCTTACTTTGTAGTGCTTCCACCTGTCCACCTGAAAATGCAGTTGTTCGTCAGCCTTTTTTATGTTCAGCACCTATCAAGGTTGGTGCCGCACTGCCTTGAAATCAACTGGAGATTCTCTTTTATGATTTGTAGCTTCAACAATGTTTCTGCTCTCTTGCAGTACCAATATGCAAATTATTCAAGCCCTCGATATGAAAATACAGGAAAAGGGTCGCTAAAGCTTCAGCTGAACAACCAGAGATCAGATTTTTCATTCGCACTTTTTTCTGGCGGAATATCAAATGTAAGTGCGCTCTTTTTTCTACATTCCAAGTGACACACTGATTTTAGCCTGACTCAGCAACTCCAGTTGAAGCAGTATACCCTTGGAAACTCGTTGCAGCTAGGCGTTTATTTCTCTTTGCGTGAGCAATCTTGTTCTGACAATATTTGATGTTCCATTGAAGGAACATCTGCTGAATCCTGAAGTTGACCTCAAATGCCAAAACTACATTACGAAGATTGATGCCATTTTTATGCCTCTGGCTCTAGCTTGTGTTTTAATATTTCATTTTGTTGCTGAAGTTTGCGCAGTCCAGATACCCGACTTTCCTTCCTTTTGAATTTACGTTTCTCATTTATATCTTGTGATGTTCTATGCACTGCAGCCAAAACTAATCACAGCATCAAATACGGTTGCATTTGCAAATCCAAAGGCTCCAGTTTATCCTCGCCTAGCTCAGGGAAAAGAATGGAATGAAGTATGTCCGTAACTTTCTAAGTAGAAAAGTTTGACATATTTAAATGGTTCTTCTTTCAGACATTGGCAGTGCAATTACTTTTGACAAATGTATAAGATTCTGCTTTTGCGCTAGCCAGCCTCTACTTGCACACGTGCTTTTCTGTTTTGTCTACAAATTCCAATTCTTAGAATAGACTACGTTTTAAAACGTGATAACAGATGACTGTAACGTGGACAAGTGGATATGGAATAGCTGAAGCACAGCCATTTGTTGAGTGGGGTCCTCAAGGTCGACAAAAAATGCGTTCTCTGGCTGGAACGCTGACCTTCGACCACAGTAGCATGTGTGGTGAGTGAACTCTTTTGTGACATTGTTTTGAATGAATGAATTGTAATGCATTACAGGCCTCTGCACTAGGACATCAGCAAGGCAAGATGCTTGGCTTGGCTGAGTCTTTTCTCCAATCTAATAAATGATTATTTTCTGTTTACTCATACTTAGAAGAGGACATTTGTCGAACCTCATTCGTCAACAGAAATAAATTTGTATCTTCCAATGAATCCGAAAGGTAGTGTTGTAAAACAATGGCCAGTAAAGCAAGTGCAAATCAATTATTACCTTGAGACACAGTAGAGTGGATTCTTAGAAAGCCATATGCAATGGACATATCATGCAATTACAGTTAGAAGGATGAAAGTAGGCTTTCAAATTAGAGAGGAGGCCCTCCTGATCACTTTCTAGAATGTAGCATTCTTGTCCTGCTGAGGAGACAGCAATAAAATGTTCGATTTCACTGCATTACTAGTTTGACTTGGATGAAGGTTTTTTTTTTTTTTTTTGATCTGTACTTGGATGAAGTTGATTAAGTCCATTTTACCGCTGTACTTAGAACAATAACTGGGCCTTTAACCCTATAAGCACCGGTTTGATCTTGCTATGAGTTTAACTGAAAGTTCTTTAAAGGCCAGTCTGGGTTCCTCATCTTGATGGTCCTAAAGTGTTGCTTCCAAATCAACATACAATGTAGAAAGGTAGAATTTTGGCTTCACCCATCGTTCCTGATCCTTAGTAGTTGGAGCTTAGTAACACAGCTCATTAAATGGTGAGAACTTAGAAGTAGACTTAATGATGTTTCATGAATTACAATTCTCAGTAATCTAAATTTCAGGAGCACCTGCAAGGACAGTAGGATGGCCTGATCCAGGATTCATACACACCAGTTTCTTAAAGGAATTATGGCCCAACTCTCTGTAAGTGTATGATATTTATGTTGTAAAATTTGAATGGCTTCGAATCAAGAGAGCAATCAAGTCCGACTTTGAGGCGTGATATCACTTTCCTTAAGGATTTATTTGCCCCACAATTGTTGCTAATGGTCACCGGCAAAAATCCTCCAGGATACAACAAAGTCTCAAAATGAGAATACTAGATAGCAATTCTAGTATTTCTCCAGGATCTCTCTAGGAAACAATTGAAAATGATGGCTGTAGTTTTTTCGAAAGAAGACTTGAAAATTTATTGATTTTTTCTTCTTGCCAAAAACTGACATATATAGAAATCGGTCTTCATAGGCAACTCTTCACAAAAAGTTGCAAAGCTAACAAAGATATTCCTTCGGAAGAAGTTGCAAACTGAACAAATGCAACCCTTCGGAAAAGGTTGAAAACTGAACAAGTATAATCTCCAAAAGTTGTCTTGAAAAGACACATGTAAAATTCGGAATAAAATAAAATAAAAATATATATAAATAAAATTCCGAATTTTCATAATTTCGAAAATTATTTAATAAACAAAAACAACCTTTCAACTACCCGCACGCAGGTATTGTGTGAACTAGCACACACCCCATTGTCTTCACTCTAAGGAGTAAGAAGACACTCACAGTTATAAAATGGCCAACTTACCCAAAACTTTCCTATGTGGGACAAAGGAAAAAGCATTGTTTTGTTTGTTTTACAAACAAACATCCAACAATTTATTCTACAGATTTACGGTTTTACTTTAGACTCTTCAGAAATATGTGAAACCAAGATGCCAATTCATTACCCTGCTACGCTATTCTTTACCTATCTACGAGAATTTAAGCCAATCAAGCTCGGAATTTGAACAATTAAAAGAATTTTATCTCCATGCAACTTTTCTAAGAAACTCCTTACGACCTTTTGAGAAAGGGAGGGAGGGAGGGAGGAAACCCGAGTCAGCTTTGTCCTGCAGTAGGAAAATATCTTGAATCGGCCTTCTTCTTATTGAATAAGATGTATTTGTATAAATCATGAATTATTTTGTGTTATCAACCTTAGAGTTTACTTGTACTGATTATTGGTTTTGAATTGATTATTTGAATATAATGCGAGTTTCTTCCCATATCAATTTCAATTTGTACCTGAGTACTACTTTTACTGATGAACTAGGTATCATTACAAGTTGGGGCATAAGCTATTGAATGGTAGTTACATTTGGAGCCAGAAATACCGGTTTAGAGCATCTCCATATCCTGGTCAAAACATCTTGCAGCGCGTTGTCATTTTTGGGGAAATGGGAAAGGTCTGATCTCTGTGGAACCAGCAGCGCATATCACTATTTGATTCCTTTCCTTTATTTATGGCTTTTTCTGGTATTGCCTTCAGGCATTGGAAGACACCGTATATAGTCATATTGTTTACTATGGACATAAGACATTTCACTTAGGTGAAGGACATTAATTGGGAAATCTCATTTTCAGAATATTCATTAATTACTTGCTGTTGCTTAATTTCCCAAAAACAACCTCCACTGGTCAAAGAAACCTTATATGAAACTCCTCCACTTATTAGTAAGCCCTAAGATCTGTACTCAGTAGCAAACTCTTCTGATTCTAGGTGGGAATTCAAGACTCTTGAAATTTGGTTAACTGGGCACTTCCTTTCATAGTTTTGTTTTGTCTGGAAGGAGCTAACCTGATCTTCGATTCTAACATGTTTGAGAAGCACTCTGTGCTGATTTGTGTCATTTTTATCGGGATGATACTGTAATATCTCACTGTAGGATGAAGCCGATGGCTCGAATAAGTACTACAATTTCCAGCGCGGCTCTCTTAATACTACCCATCAGCTTTTCAAGGACTTGAAGAACATTGATATAGTCTTCCACATTGGAGATATATCCTATGCAATTGGATATCTTTCGCAGTGGAATTAGTTTACAGCCCAGATTGACCCAATTGCCTCAAGTGTTCCTTACATGATTGCGAGGTTTGTCTTGGTTTTCTCTCCTCCTCCTATCCTTCTCTTGGCACAGAGGTTTTGGCAAATGTTGAAATTGCGGTTTCCTGATCATGTGCTTTTGGCCTGAGTTCAAGAATTAATTTATCGGTCGTTATTAGAATCTGGACCATGAAGTCATCCAGAGTTTTCTAGTGGGACCTACTTGTTTTGTTTTTCAGTGGTAATCATGAACGAGATTGGCCTGGAACTGGATTCTTTTATGGAAATGAAGACTCGGGAGGTGAATGTGGTGTGTTGGCTGAAACGATGTTTTATTTTCCTGCAGAGAACAGGGATGAGTTTTGGTAAGGACAAGATGTTGGGATTTGTCACCAAAATCCCATAGAATTGAATGAGAAGTGTGTGGGTGAAAGTGTCCCACATAGGGTAGAAGAGAGATGGAAGATGGGTTTAAATAGTTGAGCCTCACAAATGGGTTTGGGCCCCAAGGGGTACTCCACTTTTGTGGAAGAGAGAGGACCTATGTCAAGCTAGGTCGGTCCACCCCCCGCGCGCGCGCCGCCGCCGCCGTCCGTCATAAGTCACCGAGACAGTGAGAGCTGTAGATTGGCAAACATTGAAAAGTTAATATATTTCTTGGAAGAAATATATAATTGATAAGGACAATTTAGTAAATTGATGGTGGACGCTAATTTCGAAATTTCGCTTATAAAAAATAGGAAAAATTCAAAATCATTACCCAAAGTGGGGTCATTTTCTCAAAAAAGGGTCCAAAGTTGACATAGTATCAAATAAAGGTCTGAAGTATCCAATCAGTCTCAAATAAAGGCCCGAAGTGCCCAATTAATCTCAAGTAATGGCTTGGGTTCACCGGCCGGTCAAATGCTCACCGGCCGACGAGCACGTCACTGTTCCGATCGCCGGACCGGGGCCGGCAGTGGGAAAAGAGGAAAAAAAAAAAAGAAAAGGGAAAGAAAAAAACAGTAAAAGAAAAAAGAAACAAAAAAAATTTAAAAAATAAAAGACGAAATTGCCCTTATTCCGGCGATCGGAACAGTGATGTGCTTGCCGGCCGATGAACATCTGACTCGCCGGTGAACCCAGGCCCTTACTTGAGACTAATTGGGCACTTCGGGCCCCTATTTGAGACTAATTGGGCACTTCAGGCCCTTATTTGACATTATATCCACTTTGAACCCTTTTTTAAGAAAACGACCCTACTTTGGGTACTGATTTGGAATTTTCCCTAAAAAATATAGATTAATGAATTTATCTTCATAATTTTAAAATCAGCAATTCCACCTCAAAGCAACTAAAAAAGGATAAAAGGAAATGAGATCAAATGGATGGAAAAAAAAAATCCGTCCATAAAAGAGAATATACTTTGAATAGGAAATCATTATATAAAATATTATAGAGGTTTATATATTATCTCAAAATGTTTCATCTATTTCATATCAAGTAAAAATCACAAGTCATTCTATTAGACAATGAGAGTCACCGGATTGGCAAAACGTTAAAAGTTCAAGTCTTGAAGCACCTTAATATGATTCTGACCAAAAAAAAAAAGTACCTTAATATGATAAAAAGTAATCATTTAGCAGGTTCATTTGGAGCCAGACTAAAAGATTAAGCTTAATGTGCTGCCCAGACTTCTCCACAACTTATATGGGTATTGAAACGCTCGAGCCGCCCGACCTTTTTAATGTAAACGCATCTTTTACAGTCCATCTGTTGATCGACTTCTCTCCACATTATGAATGAATGATATGACTATTACCTGTAATATTCTTTCTTAGGGAGACATGATCCAAACAAATCGAGAAATTTCACTTATCCATGTGGCTCGAAGTGAGCCCTCCATTAAGTAATAAATAAGATCCAAATAAAGGCACAGGGATACTGTTCCCGTGTATATCGTTCCCCTATTTGTCTTGTATCTTCGAACGAGAGCTGCGACTTATGCTGAAACGAACTTAAATAATTGATTCTTAGCATTGTGAATAAACACAGTATATTAACGAATAACCACGCTTATCAATTGAAATTGAAATGTCGCCACAAATAACACAAATCAACGTGGATCAAACATCCGAAAGTGCAAATTGACATCGGCGACGGGACCTATCGAGCTTATTGAGGCTCATTAATGCAGTAGCGACGGGACGACCTTTTCTATTTTGTTTCTTTATCAATAAATTTCCTATTAATATCAAACTGGCAACCTTAGCTCGGCGAAACATTGGATTTTTGCTAATAATGAATGTCCGAAACCACTTCATCTTACTTTATTTTATTTTATTTCATTTTTTTTACAATTTCTACTTTTTAATAAAAAAGTTTAAAGAAATATGGAACCCAAAATCGCAGAGCTTGTATTGTAAGATGAAGGCGACGATGACGATGACGCATGAACATGCCCAACCAGATTCCGCCGCCGCCGACGACGGCGAGTGCGGCGGTCTGTCGGCGCAAATATAGCTAAAACTCTCTGATTCGGTATTCAAATTCGTCGAGCTATTTCGGCAAGTACGAATCGAATCGAATCATCCTCCCGCAATATTCCGATTCCCATCGAACCGTAACCGGCGCATCACATCAACCGGTGCTCTGTCTCTCTCTCTCTCTCTCTCTCTCTCTCTCTCTCTCTCTCTCTCCTGTTTTTGGCGCGGAAGTTGACTTTTTGTGCAGTGGGGGCGCTGTCGATTCCGTCGTTTTGCGACTTTCCGACCCTTCTTTCGAGCACGCCATCGTTATCCACCTTCGTGTCGCACAGAGCGAGTCGTCGTCTTGCCTTTTCAGCTCCCTGTTTTGTCGGACTGGGTGTTGAGCGCGGATGGGGAGAGGTACGAGAGTCGCGGGATGGGTTTCGTTCGCTGTTTTGGCGTTGGTCGCGAGCTTGGTCGAGCGAGCGAGGTCCCATGGTGACCAGCCTCTGGCTAGGATCGCCGTGCACGAGACGGTGTTTGCTCTCGACGGAAGGGCGAGCGTCAAGGCATCTCCTTCAGTTCTGGGAGCGACGGTAAGGCTTCGGTTTAGCTTGTTCTTCTTGTCGAGCTCAGTGCTCTGACTGTTCCGAGATGTCCTCGAGCTGTCGAAAATGTCTTCCAGGAAACTTTGGCTGATGCTTGATATTCATGAAATGCTTTTAAAAGATTTTCCGAACTGGGTATTGAAGACTTGGGTCGACCATGACGCAGGCTACATTAACTGTTTCAGGGGCAAAATACTGAATGGGTGTCATTGGAGTATAGCTTTCTGAACGCGTCGAATGATGACTGGATTGGAGTATTTTCTCCCGCGAATTTCAGGTGATTAGATCGCTCTGCATTGCGGCATTCGTGATACAGGGCTTGTGTTTTTTCTCTCTCTTTTGGTTGACCGTTAATATGAGGATACTGTTTTCTTGATGTCCAATTCTGTTTTCGCTACTTTGCAGTGCTTCCACCTGTTCACCTGAAAATCCGCATGTTCTTCCGCCTGTTCTATGTTCAGCACCGATCAAGGTTTTAGTGTCACACCCCTTGCAGTCACTCTCAGATTATCTTCTGTGATTTGTGGCTTTAACTATTGTTTGTGCTCCCTTGCAGTATCAATATGCGAATTACTCAAGCCCTGCATATATAAGTACGGGAAAAGGGTCCCTTAAGCTTCAGTTGATCAACCAGAGATCAGATTTTTCATTCGCACTTTTTTCTGGTGGTATATTGAATGTAAGTGCTCTGTTTTATTTTTGCATACCAAGTCCATGACTGGTTTGGGCCTGAATCAGCTACTCCAACTGAAGCAAGACGTATGAGCTAGCAAGTTCAGATGATATATGATGTACATTAACGGATATCTGCTGAATGCTGAAGATGATGTGAAATGCCAAAACTGCATCAAAAAAACTGACGCCATTTTTATTTCCTCTTAGTCTAACATGCGTTTTAATTTAATATTTTGTTGCTGAAGTTTGTGCCACCTCAGTAGCTACTTTTTCCTTGACTTTTCCAACTTTTTCACTTGTGTTTCTGGTTTGTCTGTTGTGATGTTGGATGCACCACAGCCAAAACTGGTTGCAGTATCAAATACGGTTGCATTTGCAAATCCAAAGGCTCCAGTTTATCCTCGCCTAGCTCAAGGAAAAGAATGGAATGAAGTATGTCTAACACCATTTCATGTAGAAAAGTTTGGCATGTTTTATAGTTCTTTCAGATATTGGCAGTGCAATTGCTTTTGACGAATGCATAGGCTTCTGCTTTTACGCTAGGCAGCCTCTGCTTGCACACGTGTTTTCCTGTTTTGTCTATAATACCAATTCCTAGGATAAAACATGTTTGGAAATGTGATATCAGATGACTGTAACATGGACAAGTGGATATGGAATAGCTGAAGCAGAGCCCTTTGTTGAGTGGGGCCCTCAAGGTGGAGGAAAAATGCGTTCTCCGGCTGGAACATTGACTTTTGACCGTAGTAGCATGTGCGGTGAGTGAACTCTTTAAACATTGTCGGAATGAATTGTAATGCATGACAAGCCTCTGTATCCTTCAAGCACCAGTTTGAGGTGTATTATGAGTTTAACTGAAGGTTCCTTAAAGGCCCGTATGGGGTCCTCATCTTGATGATTCTAAATTTTTGCTTTAAATCAATGTACAATTGTGGAAAGGTAGAATTTTGAATTTATCCATTGCTCCGGATCCTTAGTAATTGGACCGTAGTGACACAGTGCTCTGCAGACCCGATCATTCAAGATTCCATCCATGGTTTGAACTTAGAAGTAGATTTCTTGATGTTTCATGAGTTATAATTCTCTTAGTGATCTAAATTTTCAGGAGCACCTGCAAGGACAGTAGGATGGCGTGATCCAGGATACATCCACACCAGTTTCTTGAAGGAATTGTGGCCCAACTCTGTGTAAGTGTGTGTATGTTATTTCTTCTACAGATTTACGGTTTTATGCTAGACTCTTTAGAATTATGTTAGATAAAGATGCCAATTTTTATTCATTACCCACTATGAATTCTATCTCGGCGTAACTTTTTTAAGAAACGACTTGCCACCTTAAATAAGTTGACGGCCTCGATTCCTTTCCTTTTCTATTGTGAGGTGAGATGTCTTTAACGGTTAGGATTTGTCTCTCTCCACTCTGCTTGTGATGCTGAGTGAATATAGCTGGAAATTAGTAGGGGTTTATTTCATTTGCAGGATCCTTGAAATTATTAAGTGCACTTGCCGCTGTTCATATAATATGGAATTAAGGAGATTTTTCTCCTCCTGAGAGAGAGAGAGAGAGAGAGATTGAAGGGAGGGTGGTGATTAGTTGAATGCTGAGTCAGCTTCGTCATTCAGTATGATGATGTAT